AACGCTTTTAAGGTCTCTACTTACATCTCACCTCAACATTCTATCAGCCAAAATAAGTCATACGGTTAAAACCAACATTAGTGGAGTGAGAAAATATCCTTCATCTACTCTAGTAGGGAGAACTGCAATGTCACATGGCAAAGGTTGTGAATGTACAAATCGCTTACAGAGAGGGATTAAATCATTGGGAAAAGTAATCTAATCTACCACAGTATCCTAGGGACCTCACGAAACTCAGAGGGCAAATGAGGTTGGAAGCATCACCTTATCACCTTTGAAAATGATATTTCTTGGTTTGTTCATACCCAAAAGGAAATATACCTCAAGGAGACTTGAAGCTGACAGGAAAAAAATGTGCAATTTTTGTAATATTCTATGCAAGTTCTTTAGCAATATAATAGTAGAAGCAATAAAGCTAACATTAGGAAGTGCTTACCATGTCAAGAATGTCACAGGCATTATTTTATTTAATCCCTGGTTGATACCATCATTATTCCCATTTTATAGATGAGGAACCAGAGGCCAAGAGGTTTGTCCAAGGTCATAAAGCTTATAAGCGGTGAAGCCAGGATTTGAATACAGGCAGCCTAGATCCAGAGCTTGTGCTTTTAACCATTATATTTTAAGTGCATGCCAGATTGCAAGGCTTCAATATTGGACTACAAAAGTGTGCCAAAGTTGTGGAAGCACCACCAAATTTGCACATGATTCACATGGGCTCAGAAAGCTAAGGTTTAATTTGTCAAGAGAAGAAAATTTTTATCCTACTCAACAAAAATACCAAGAAAGCCTGACTCTTTCTCATAGAAATATATCAACATACCACAGTTCAACTGTTTAATTTCAATGTTATTTAAATTCAAACATTTCTTGTCTTTGAAGAACTGCTACATGAATACATTTCATTGATCAAAATAACTTTTCAAAGTTTCTAAGCAACCTTGAATATCTACTTTCTAGACGAAAGTATCTGCTACATATACTGTCTCTTGTGACACTGTAAAGGCCACGTTTTCAGTGGAGAAAAATGATCACAAAAGGAAACAATCAGAAAAATCTTCCATTTTCATTAAACAAGTACATTCAACACTATGTTCAATAAATAATTTAACAATGAAGAAGTATCTCCTTTATGAAGCAAGAATTCTGTAATGCAAATATACATCCGGAATTTTTAGTCCTTCCCTCCGTGGTTATGGGGAAGTGCACTTTAATTACCAGACATTCATTTCTCAGTTGTTTTCTGAGCTTAATAAATAATGAAAGTATTGTACTACTTATCAGAAATCACTAAGGACATAATGTTAAAAGGCATGTTTTTGCAATAAGCAATGGTCTGCCAAGCATCTCATTTGAAGATGAGTAAATGCTGTTGTAGGAGTTGAAGTCTTGGGTCTACCTGATAGAATGGATTAAGAACCTACTGTGGGGAATTTAGAGGGTTACTAAAGACACAAAACATTACCTAGATGTACTCAGCCTATAAAACATGAGATATACACAAAAGGACATTTCTACCTTCAAAGAACACGATTACCCAAATTAGGCTAAAAATCGGAAAGAAAAAAAAAAAAGGACATGGCCAAATGCCAACTATTTGAAGACAAGTCTGGAAGAGTGTAGTGTGATACCTCAGTCCAAACGTGAACAATGAGGAGATGCAGACTATATTTTTCCATGATGACCACAGCATTTGGAATGAAGGGATGGTTGTTCAGTGACAGAGGTAAATGCTCAGGTCAAGTGTTTTGATTTTGTTTATAACAAATCTTCACTTTCTCTGCTAGTCTTCCAAGAGCTCTGCCACTTAGCCAAAAAGCATGATGACCCTGGCTTGTAAAAAATACAAAATCAGAGCTCCAAATGGATTTCTGAGATTCTCCAGAAGACAGAACCATGATACAATGGAAAACAGGAACTGATGGCCGACTTCCACTTAAATTAAAGCCAAATTTCAAAATTTTCAATGGAAAAAGAATTTACTTAATTTATTAGGTATAAATTATTTATGTTATCACATCAAATTGTTCATATAATCTAATTTTAACAAACAAAATTTTCCCCATGGCAAATATTTTAATATTCATAGAATAATTTTAATAAAATTAAAATTTCACTCTTAAGAATATTAATTACTATGTGAATCCTGTGTGGACTCAAGAGTAAATGGCAAGCTCTATTTTCAGTTATCACTTGAGAACTTTATACTCCACTATTTACTGTTGCTAATGAAGATTCGAAAGAAAAGAAGTAATTTCCTAGCACAAGCTCAGCTTCAATATAATTAACAAAGTAACGTGCTTATTCATAAAAACCCGTGAAAGAACTTAATATGTTAAATGTATAAGAAGTCTTTCTTTTAAGGGGTAACACTTTTCAGAAAAACTCCCACACAAAGTAATGTATTCCTTCCAAGACATCACAGCCAAAACCTAAGCATGGGTAAGTTCCTTAGAGGACATCCAGGGCAAACTCCTACCCATCTTGCAGGAATTCCTGCTACAGCAGTTTTGACAAGTAGCTTTCCAGAGTCTCCATGAATACTTCTACTAACTGGGAGGTGGGGTTTACTATCCATGGTCCAGCCCGTTTTATTGCAGGTGAGCTCTGACTGTAGAAAAGTTCTTCCTGTTGATCTATGTTCTTAAAATTTCCACCTACCTGGTATAAAATTTATACCACTGGTTATAGTTCTAGCATCCACAAGCACCTCGAATTCCAACTCTTCTGTTCCCAAGTTGGAAGTAGTAGCTGAGAACAACAGAGCAAGTCCCATCACTCTATGACTTGCAGGGGTGGGGGAAGGGAGGGGAGAGATGTGACAGAGCCATGGAAAAGGAGATGGAAGACAACCAACCAAATATTTGGTTCACAAGGATATTTTATGTCAGATTCAGTGACAAACACAGATACAATCCAAGACTACAAAATACAAAAGATAATGTGGATGTATAGGGTGTATGTGTATTTGTTTTTGTATATATGTGTGTATATATAGACGCACGTGTGTATATTGTTGTAACACACACATCTGAGTGTGAGTATATGTACAGTTGACCCTTGAACAATGGTAATTTGAACTGTGTGGGTCCACTTATACATGGATCTTTTTGGATAAGTACAGCATAGTACTGTAAATGTCTTTTCCTTATGGTTTTGTTAATAACATTTTCTTTTCTCTAGCCTACTTTATTGTGAGAATACAGTATATGATACATATAACATATAAAATATGTGTTAATTGGCCACTAATGTTATTGGAAAGGTTTCAGTCAACAATAGGCTATTAGTAGTTAAGTTCTGGGGGAATCAATAGTTCTATGCAAATTGTCAACTGCATGGGGGGTCAGCGCCCCTAACCCCACCCCGTAATTCAAGGATCAACTGTATATATGTATATGGTACATGTGTATACATGTGAGAAGGTCTATGTATGTGTGTGTGCATATGAATATGATGTATAAAATGCCAAGTCAGCTAATAGAAAAATCTTCAAACTGTTTTCAATAAGGAATGCAAACATGGGTTTTTAGGGTATTATTTTTAACAATATAAAATATACACAGCTGCTAAGCATTTCAGGAGTTGTTAACAGACCAGAGAGGATGAAGGGAAGGCAACATACTTATGTTTATATTATGATAAAAATATGATTGTTTCAAAATATCTGAGTCATTAAATGTTAAACTTATTATCTAGACATTTGCTATCAAGTAGATGAAGAAGTTCTCAACCAGTAAGTTGAGAACTCCAGATCACTCTACCAAGTCTCTTTCTGCAGGTTTCTGATGGCATTGTTAGCACGGGAGGGGCGGGCAGCAAAGCACCTTCCTGGGCCCAGCTCAGAACCGACCCTCTCAGGCCCGAGCAGCACTCTGCCTACGCTACGCCTCAGAGAGCCAGAAAGTAACAGCTCCTCACGGGGTCGGGGCTTCCCTGAGGTGAACACAGCCCCCATTGGCAGGACACTAAATTATTAAAAAAGAATTCAAATATGTTCACTAGATTTCAAGATAAGGAATATCTTGAGATGAGGTACCTGCGTGGCTCAGTCTTTAAGCGTCTACCTTCGGCTCAGGTCATGATCCCAGGGTCCTGGGATCGAGCCCCGCATCGGGCTCCCTGCTCAGCGGGGAGCCTGCTTCTCCCTCTCCCACTCCCCCTGCTTGTGATCCCCCTCTCACTGTCTCTCTCTCTGTCAAATAAACAAATAAAATCTTAAAAAAAAAGCAATATCTTGAGATATTTCAAGATATTCAAGAGAACAAACCCACGGAAAATTTTTCCATAAACATAGAAACAAAAGAAAAAACCATTTGGGTAAATTGCTAGGATATCTGGTTAGTAGAACACTGTCTGGAATTAATCAAATGTTACTAAATTATATTCACCAAAAAGAATAAAGTTCTTTCAGATCTAATAAGGCAAAATGATAAACCTATATAAATAGTTTTAGTTATCATAAAATTGGAAACAAATAACTGGATAATGTAATAAATCTTTTCCTAGGTAATACATAAAATCATTCCAAGTTGTATAGCCTGGTAAAGCACAAAATTATTAATTTTGACCCATGGGCCAAATATCACACACCATCTGTTTTTGTAAATAAAGTTTTGTTGGCACGTGGCCATGCTCATTCATTTGCTGTCTATGCCTATTTTCATACTGTCACATCAGAGGTGAGGAAGTTGTGACACAGACTATTCGGACCCACAAAGCCTAAAATATTTACTCTCTGTTCCTTTATGGGAAAAGTTTGCAGACCCCTGCCCGACATAATCACAGATCTTAGATTAAACATGTAGGCTACCTGCTAAATCACAATAGCATTAAGAGAGGTGAGAACTTTACTTGCTTTGTCATGTAGGTCCTTCCTTACAGAACAAAAACAAAAAAAGACAGAGTTGCAAAAGTTGTTCCAAGTATTGTGAAAATATTTTACAGTTTGGAGAAATGGAACAATTGTTCTTCCTACTTGTTCTGTTGGTCCTTCCTACCTGTTTCTCCTCCTCTTCATCTGAGGTGCTACTGATATCCTGGACATTTCCACTGGGGCTGCCGGGTTGGTAATCTTTCAACTTCTCTTGAATGGACCAGTTGTCCTTTTGATCTGTCGTATTTTCCTCATCACTTTCTGGGTTATTTTTCCATTCCTTCATCATTTCTAACACATTGGTTGGCCTTGCTGAAGAAAGCGTATTGCCCTAATATTAACAATGAATTTTTGGTGTTAGAAACAGTTTAGAAAATTGAAAAGATTTTTACAACTTCTAGTAATACATCTTCCTAAATTCAGTAAGTCACATGGAAAAACTAAAATGCTGAATAAACAGCAAAACTTCTGCTCCCCTTTGGAGCACTCTCCCTGTGCTGATATGGCTCATGCCTCTTGACTGAGATCATGTGCAACAGGTTAGGGTTTGGGGGGAAATATTAGGGTTTGAAAGAACAATGCAACATGCTCATGCAAAGGACACTAGACATGGGCATCCCCTGGAATCCGAAGACCCCCTTACAGAGCGACTCTTAGAAAACTAACAGGGAAGCAGAAAGAATGAAAAAAGTTGCCCCCAGTCTAGTGGGTCCAACTAAGGGCAAGCTTATATAACATCAAAATCTCCAGGTAGGAAAGCTAAACTCATTAAGTAGTTAAACACTGTGTCCAAGAAGAGAGATGTTTGATTTGAAAGTTTTTTAGTTGACTGGAAGATTTAAATATAAAGTGGCCATGATTACACTGCTTTAATCCCAAATGTGACCATACCATACCAAAATTGACTGTTTTATATTAATAATATTTTTCTCAAAAATAATATTCCACTTAATGCCAAGAAATACATGAATGCAGTCTCAAATGGCTCCTGAGAGAGTAGGTATGCTTTAAATATTTTTGCTCCTAACTCAGACTAGTAGAGAAAGTTTAGACAAGTTTAGATCACATTTAGATTAAAATGGGAAATTCAAGTGTGGGCACAGCTATGAAGTGATTCTGTGTTAATTTGGTATGTGGGTGGATTGAAGCATTAAACATCAGTGACACAGAATACTATGAAACAGCGCACTTTAAGGGCAGACAGCTGAGTACATCGTTGAGGATTTGTAGAGTTTAACATATTTGTGGTTAAAGACATAGACACACATTAAGTATAGAACGGTAATAACTGAGGATCATTATGCAATTAATTCCTCATGGTTCTTCTATTTCATCTTGTTGTTATTTTGTTTTGTTTGTTTTTTTAAGATTTTTATTTATTTATTTGTTAGAGAGAGAGAGAGAGAGAGCACAAGCAGGGCGAGCAGCAGAGGGAGAGGGAAAAGCAGGCTCCTCACTGAGCAAGGAGCCCGATGTGGTACTCGATCCCAGGACTCTGGGATCATGACCTGAGCTGAAGGCAGACGCTTAAAGACTGAGCCACCCAGGCGTCCCTATTTCATCTTGTTTTAAGAAGTTCTATATTCTTACTACTTTCATAGCATCCTGCTTTTGGTTACATCTACCCATAGCATCCTCTACCCATTCACTCCCAGAATGCCCTTACCATGCCTTCTGCCAACCCATAGCCTACATTTCCTCCAAGGCTCAATTTGAGAGTCATCTCTGTCAAGCATCCCAGAACTTTAAAAAAATGTTGTCAACTTAAACTCAGACGAAATATAGATTGAGTCTTGAGACCATAAAAGAGTTGGAATTGTCTAGAATAGTAGAGTCTCTGATCATTCACCTGAAAGAGTTCTGACCTCCAGGGCTCTGCCAATAGCCCTGTTTGATCCTTATGATCCATCTAGCCTCTATTACAACTTTCTGGTTTCATCCTGACCTTTGTCCCTAATTTTCATGTAATCACAATATCCAGCCTCCTGGAATACGAGTACACAAAACTCTGCCTCAACTTGATTCTTTCACTAGCAGACAATCTGATATTGTCTGTGTTTGTATTTCCAGTCCTCAATTGCCCTCCCCTGATAAACTTTCTATAAGGTAACTCTTTGGATACTGTAGTAGTCACTAATGATACACACCTAACTTTCCTTTCTTCTAGGCATGTTGTAGAATTCTGTTCTCTATATGTTTTGGGATATGACTATGTGACTTGTTTTAGCCAGTGAAATGTTACTGGAAAAAGTATGTATCATTTCTGGGTGGAAACTATAAGAGATAGCGTGCAATTTATCATGTTCCCTATCCCTACCTTAGTAACTATAGAAGCACAGAGATGGAGCCTCCCTCAGCCGGGGTCCCTGAGTGAGGACAAAGTAAAACAAAGCTCCCTCCCCTCCTCCCAGCCAGTCTGTGCCATGGCATCGAGACCACTGAGATTTGGGGGTCATTTGTTACCACAGCATAATTTAGCCTATCCTGATATAAACAGCAAATTAAACATTTGCATTCTGTAAGTCACTTCCAAAAAGCCCTTAAAAAGAGTGAGCCCAATGTACAACCAGCATGCCCAACAAAACTGTAATTACTACAGAAATCCTATCCCATTAATACCCTGTGACAGCCCATTTGTTTAGGCAGTCCTTGCTTTGCACACTGCTGATATACATGAATTTCAGTCACCATGACTTAGTTAAATAATCTCAGTACCCCAATAACACAGTTCAAATTTCAGTCACCGTGGTATATTAACAATAATTACATAAAGTTCGAACTTCACTGCTAGCTCTTCCAGCCACAATCACCATGTAAATTACAGATGTGCAATGTGATCAGTGATGAGTCATGTCACTTCTTTCATGGTCTGTTGGTGATGGGACACTGGGCATCCGCTACTCGGTTCACACACAGACAGCAAAGTATGCAGTCGTGTTGCCTCTTTGCCTCCCCAGGAATCTGCCAGCTAAGATGAAAGTGCATCAAGTAGATGAAAAGTGATCATGCTGGAGGTGAAATCAGAATCAAACGTCAATGGAGTAACAGAAGTAGCTGACCGTTTGAGAGAACCTAGATATGCAACCAAAGGAGCCTGGTGAAGGCAAACTTATGAACAGAAATGAGGGGAAAGTGGTGTGCAGAAAGGACAGAGGTGCCCCAGAGAAAGTGATGCCCGCAAAGAAGGTGTCATTTAAAGGATTTTCAGAGATAATTCATGACATTGAAAGCACAAAGAATAAGATGTTGGAAATTGATCCAAACTTAAAGAATAGTATTAGAACTCACTGAAGTACAAAAAAAGATGCTCCCCTCTGTATTGTAAGTTATAGGACAAGGAGAAGAAGGTAAGCACTGTTTAAACTAATTTTGATAAGTTTTTCTGAAAAAAATAAGACACTTTAGTTCTTAATATTTCTAATGTTTTAAATTACAATGCACTAAGAAAAATCAGTTTTCCTTTTGTTCCATTTTCCAAGTATTACAACCAACAGTTAGTTTTATTATTTAACAAAAATTTTTAAAGGGCATGGAACAATCATAATTTCCCCAATGATTATTAAGATCCTTTTGCAGTTTCAACCTGCACTGTTATTTTTATGGTCCTGCACTACTATACAAAGGAAGGATTCCCTGTATTATCTTGAATCTGCATCTCTAGCAATCTTTCAAATGCTCATAATACACGTTAAGAGCTTGATGACTGATACTCTATATGCCTAAAGTAGAGTGCTTTGTACTCAAAGAAATGACCCTATTTCTCATTCCACAGAGATTGTGAAGAAGAGAAAGGATTCAGAATAGGACATTATCCCCTCAGAAACACCCTACTATTTGGAAATCTTTAACTCTTTGCTTCCTACATTCATGTGTGATATCAAACAGGGCGCAAAGTCTAAAGTCCAGTCAATAACTTACTAGACTACCCCCTTCTTGCTTGCTAGCAGCTGGAGGAGAAATTGTATCAAATGCTTGGACTGACCAATGAATAAGTGGGCCAGGGCTATGTGTCATGAGCCTTCTAGGTTCAACAGAAATTACAAATGAACCAACCAACAAACAAAAATGGGCAGAATTATTAGGGCAGACACTGGAAAGTGTATGTCATTTCACTATCAGGACGCTAACCTCTGAATTCTTTTACTGGCTGTAATCAGAGTCAGATACTGAACTCATCAACTGTGAAGTAGTAAATGGCAAGAAGGCAGCAGTAACAGGTCAATAATCTGAGGCTTTCAAAAGTAGAACACCAACATTCTGGTTACTAAACTTCTACTTGGTTAACTAACAGAGGGTTGAGACTATTTTATTTTGAAAAATGGAAAAATGAATACTCTTGGAGAAGAAGCATTGGCAAAAACTAAGATTTGATTTAATACCTTAGTATTAAGTGGAGACCAAAATTAGAGATCTAAACATATGTCCCTATCTAACATACTTCTCCTGTTCAAGGACTGTGACTATCAGTATTTTATAAACAATAAGTATTTAATGAGCAGTTTTGAGTGAATGAATGAATGAATGAATGGTATTTATGAGCTGGGGTGAGGTGGTATGAAACATAAAATTGGCAAAGCTAGGGGCACCTGGGTGGCTCAGCTCATTAAGCATCTGCCTTCGGCTCAGGTCATGATCCCGGGAGTCCTGGGATTGAGCCCCATGTGGGCTCCCTGCTCAGCGGGGAGACTGCTTCTCCCTCTCCCTCTGCCCTTCCCCCTGCTTGTGCTTTCTCTTGCTTGCTCTTTCTCTTTGTCAAATAAATAAATAAAATCTTTTTTAAAAAATGGCAAAGCTAAAAGGAAACATTCTAGGTCTTTAGCTTCTGGTCATCATTTCCACTTTTTGTAAATAGCCAGAACTCTTTATTTTGTAATATTCCTAAGTTGTTGTTGTTGTTGTTGTTGTTTTTTACTTGAGTATAGTTGACACCTAGGAATAAAATTTTTTTCAATAGGAAAATGGAATAATCACTTTGTAAAAAAAATAAAAGGCTGCTCAACTTCACAAAGTTAACAAAACCCAAATCAAAACAATGAGATGCCAATCTTCACTTAATAGATGGACATAACTTTAAGTTTTGTAATACTCTGTGTTGGTGAGGGTGTGGGCAAACAGGCTTTCTCATTTACTTGCTTTTTAGGAAGGCAAATTAGCAATAACCTATCAAAATATATAAGGCACATCCTCTCTGACCAGTAAGTCCACTGTTAAGAATTTATCTGATAACGGAGCATGCAAACATATATTTATAAGAACATTTGTTGTACCACTGCTATAATAGAAATAATCGGAAACAATTTACATGTCCATATTTATAGGGGACTATTTAGA